CTTTGGATTCTTAACCTACTCAATTTTACAAGAATTATCATATTTTTCTTATAATTTTCGGAGCACCTTTCCGGTACGCGCTTTTCATAGCCAGTACCAGTTTCTGGCACCAGTTCTCATTATTTTGACTTGAAACTCGTTTTACAAGTCCTACATATTATTCTAGTAAATATCATGCACTTATTATAATTTTCCGGGATACTTTTTCGGTACGCATTTATATCGACTAGCAGAACCTGTATCTGCACTTTTCTTCCGAAAAGCGACTTTCAGCATTCTTAATCACTTACTATAATTATTAGAGCCTCATAATAATTATTAGGGTCAATTATGAAATTATTTCCTAATTTCACATAATTAATTAATTAAATTCCTTAATTAACGGTGCGGGTTGTTACAAAAAGCACATATACATTCCCCATAAAATAATTATAATTATTATTTTTAGTTTATCATGTTTTTTCACATGATTTTAAGGCCAATAACGTGCTAATTTTTCAATATCATCAATATAACATTCAAGAACTACTTCCCCCTAAACCCTAAACTTAATAATTCATTTTCACAAATTAACAATGTCGTGAGGGTCCATATCTAAAAAATAAGCTGCTGAAAAATAACTATAAAAATGGATCAAATATAAGAAAATGCAAACTATACAAATTTTTCTTTCTCCCTACGTAAAAGTTCAAGGAATAAAGTATACATGCAGCAAAAATATTACTTACTTGAAGTGGAGAATGAAGCTCAACTGGTGGGGACCAAGGCTTAGGTAGTTAAATGGTGGAGCAAAACTATCACATACGATGTAAAAATCAGAGCACTTACTAGCGTCTACCAAGAGAGAGGGGAGACCAAATGCTACGATTTTCACTGAGGCAAAGTAACCGGTTGTGCTGTGGTTGTATAGAGGTGCCCCGTGTAAAATGGTGGAGACTGCCAGTCAAAGTTGAACGCGTCACTGCTCCTACCATTTTCCACACGTCACCTTTTCACTGTGACATTTTTAAGTTAACAAATCGTGTAGTTGTTAAAGTGAACAGTGACACGTCTTCATGCCTGACGTGTTCTTTGCAAATGAAAGATGTTACATTTAGGAACGTTTTCATAATTGTTTGAGAAACTGCCGCGTATCAAAACGTCTTCTGACACGATGTTATCACTGACAGTTAACTTAACCTTTAGCTAATCTTTAGTTAGTCAGTTAATTAACCACAGCTAGTTAGTTAGTTAACCACAGCTAGTTAGTTTGTTAGTCAGTTATAGAGTTTGTTATTTGTGAACGTGTATATAAGTTCACAGTTAACTCTTTTGTATTCATTGATTAAGTTTCTATTAATCAGAAAGCATTTTTCCATTATGAGTTCTCTCTCCCTGGGTTTTGATATGAAGCTCTCTCTAGTCAACCTCCTTTGCTCACTCATTTGAAGGTTTTTGGTTGTCTCTCATATGCAAGCACTCTCATTACTGGTCGTACAAAGTTTTCCTCTCGAGTAAGAAAATGTATATTTCTGGGGTATAAACTAGGCACCAAAGGTTATGTCTTGTTGAACCTTGAATCTCATGAAATTTTTGTATCTCGCAATGTGGTTTTTTTATGAACTTATTTTCCCTTTTCCAACTAATCCTACATCTGAAACCACTAAAGAAATCACTGAACCTACACAAACTACCATTGATCCTCACTTTGATGATATCATTTTTTCCCCTTTAATTCCTATTTCTCCCCATCAGAATCATGTTGTACCTGTTGGTCCACCTCAGTTTACCTCTCAGTCTTTACCCCATTTACCTAACCATACAGTGTCTACTCAACCACCTTTGACTACTGAACCAACTTTGACTACTGAACACACCCAGCAGTCTTAACCTGATCCTATCCTTAGGCGTTCATCAAGGACACGCTAAAAGCCTTCCTATCTCCATGTTTTCAGCTGCAACTTTACTTTAAGCACCCCTTACCCCTTATCCTCTTTTATGTCCTATGATTCATGCTCCTCTGAGCATACCTCTTTTTGTCTCAACCTGAAGCATCCAAGCATAGTTGTTGGACTGATGCTATGGCTACTGAACTCCATGCTTTACAGTAAAATAATACTTGGTGCCTCACTGACTTACCTCCAGGGAAACACCCAATTGGGTGCAAATGGGTTTTTAAAACAAAACTCAAAGCTGATGGATCAATTGAACGTCACAAAGCACGCCTTGTAGCTAAGGGATACACTCAGCTTGAGGGTGTCAATTTCTTGGAAACTTTCTCTCCGGTTGCAAAAATTGCTACCATCAGAATCCTACTCAGTGTTGCCACAGCAAGAGGATGGCATTTGGAACAACTTGATGTTAACAACGCATTTTTGCATGGAGAACTAAATGAAGAAGTCTATATGTCTTTACCACCCGTATTCGAATCTACTAAGCCGAATCAAGTGTGCCGGTTACAGAAATCTCTATATGGACTGAGACAAGCAAGTAGACAATGGAATTCTCGCGTCAGTTCTGCTCTAGTTTCAATTGGATATCAGCCATCAGAGGCTGACCATTCCTTGCTCATCTAGGCTACTTCCACTTCTTTCACTGCTCTCCTCATCTATGTAGATGACATAGTATTGGCATGGAACAATATGGAGGAAATCACTCATGTCAAACAGTTCCTTGATGCTGAGTTCAAAATCAAGGACTTGGGCAAACTACACTATTTTCTTGGCCTTGAAATACTGCGGACAACGGAGGGCTTAGTTGTTAATGAACGAAAGTACACACTCGATTTGATTGCATGCTTGGAGCAAAGCCATGCTCAACTCCAATGGAGTCTGGAACAAATCTGGATCGTGAATCTGGAATAGCATGTGCAGACCCAGGTGAATATAGAAGATTGGTAGGTAGATTGCTTTATTTGACAACCACTAGGCCAGACATTTGCCATGCATTTTAGCAGCTCAGCCAGTATGTTTCGAGCCCCACTGGTCTCCATATGAGGGCAGCTATGCATGTCCTTAGATATCTCAAGAATGCTCCTGGCAGTGGCTTGTTTTATTCATCAAAGAACACATTGATACCAAGTGGTTTTTCAGACTCAGATTGGGCAACTTGTTCAGATACGAGAAGGTCAATTACTGGATATTGTGTGTTCTTAGGTGACTCACTTGTATGCTGGAAGTCTAAGAAACAGACTACAGTATCAAGGAGTTCCTATGAGGCGGAGTATAGAGCACTTGCTACACTGACTTGTGAGTTACAATGGTTAAGTTACATCTTGCAGGACTTGCATGTTACAGTAACTAAACCCATCTCAGTCTATTGTGACAACCGATCAACAATCCATCTAGCTCATAATCCCAGCTTTCACAAAAGAACAAAACACATAGAGATCGATTGCCATTTAATTCGTGAAAGATCAACTTGGGATTAATTCATCTGCTTCCAATCAATTCTGCAGCTCAATTGGCAAATCCGTTCACCAAGAATTTGTCACCAGGACCGTTCAAGGCTTTAATTGGCAAGTTAGGACTGGTGAATGTACACCATCCCACTTGAGGGGGATGTTATCACTGACAGTTAACTTAACCTTTAGCTAATCTTTAGTTAGTCAGTTAATTAACCACAACTAGTTAGTTAGTTAACCACAACTAGTTAGATTGTTAGTCAGTTATAAAGTTTGTTATTTGTGAACGTGTATATAAGTTCACAGTTAACTCTTTTGTATTCATTGATTAAGTTTCTATTAATCAGAAAGCATTTTTCCATTATGAGTTCTCTCTGCCTGGGTTTTGATACACGACGCGTTGCCACGCATTAAGATGGCCAATAGTATTGTCATAGAATTATATTGGTCAAACATTACTAATTTCGAATTATATAGGTCAAAAGGCCCAGGGAATGATGACTCTATATTTTGCGAGAATGACAGCTCATAAATATAATGGAGGGAAAATATCCCGTTAACGGGTGAATGTGGTATATATAGAAAATAAAATATTCTCTAACGATTAGAGAAAGCCAATTGTACCTCAAAAATTATTTTAATCCAAAAATTTAAGTTGTTAAGTAAATATCCTTTTAATGGTTTATATTATTGTTCTTTTAATGATTTATATTATTTTTAACATATTTTTCATATAAAAATTTATTGAGCTTGAAGGATGATAATATATAGATCTATTTATTTGTATTAAGAAATTTCACAAAACTTAATTAGTTTTTAATTAAATGGGGACAATGATGATCAAATCCATAATACTTGAGGCTCTAATATAATATAAAAAATAATTTTAAACCAAAATCTTAAACTGTTTAGTAAAGATCTTTTTAATGATTTATATTATTCTTACTGTTATGCGGGAGATAACTTATCTCCAACATGAACGAGGTGAACTTTACGGAGAGTGAAAAGTCCTATAATTAAAGATGAGGTTATAAAATCTTATAAGGTCTTGGGTTCATATTTTTATGAATGTAAAAAAACTCTTTTAGAAAAGCTAGCTCTATCATAATGTGAATATTTTTGACTTGAATATAATTACTTCTCATAAAAAATACCAATAGTTTTCTTTTGAAAAAAAAAAACAAAAACGGCTGTGAGAGGTTTTGCAAAAGGTGGAAGGGGGCTCAAAATAAAAATAAAAAAACATAGAATTGAATTATATTTACAAATTTTCTATTTATAATTTTTTAGAAATTACATTATATTCTTCGAATAGAACATATTACTTGATATTATTCGTAAGGTAATATTTCTATCATGTAACATGATATGAAAAAACATTCCTATTCACACATTGAATATTGTGTCATCATTTCTTTTATTTTTCATGATGAGCCCCACCAAAATTTGTTTGTGTAAAAAATTAGTTTTGTATTATGCCATATACCATATGTAAGTAAACGAGTGCAATGACGTAAGTGCAAACGTAATCAAAAGAAGGTTGATTATCAGCCCCCTGCATTGACTGATCTTCATCAACAATATTAATAAAAAAAAAATAAACATTTTTAATTGCTTACAGTGAATCAGTGACATTTTCAAAGTGGTGATGTGAGACATGAGAACCCTTAAAAGGTTGTCTCTACCAACTGGACTGTTACCTCGGAGCATCTTGAGTTCTGTCTAGTTCATAACTTTGGTGATCCTCTGCAACAACAATGGGTGACGAGGTTGTTTTGTTGGATACATGGGCCAGCATGTTTGGGATGAGGGTTAGGATTGCATTGGCTGAAAAGGGTGTTAAGTATGAGTACAAGGAAGAGAATCTTCCAATTAGCAAGAGCCCTTTGCTTCTGCAAATGAACCCAGTTCACAAGAAAATCCCAGTTCTTATCCATAATGGAAAACCCATATGTGAATCTGCTATTATTGTTCAGTACATAGATGAGGTTTGGAATCACAATCCTTCACTCATGCCCTCTGACCCTTACCAGAAAGCTCAAGCAAGATTCTGGTTTGATTACATTGACAAAAAGGTAGTTCCTTTGCTTTGTTCTGATTTGAATTTCCATTCTTTTGTCTCCTTATTATGTTGGGTTCATTTAAAAATTTAAAAATTGAAGTTCTGGATTTGAAGATTTGCATTTCATACTTGTTAATGGGAATATATCATTGATTTTTGGTAGTTTTTATGATTTAGTGGTAGGAGTATATATTAGGATTTTGATTTTTTTTTTGTATGCTAATATTTTATTTTAGTACCACTAATAGTTTGTGATCTTCCATGCAGGTTTATGATACTTGGAGGAAAATGTGGCTTTCTAAAGGAGAGGAGCATGAGGCAGGGAAGAATGAGTTGATCTCAATCTTTAAACAACTTGAGGAGACACTTGGTGACAAACCTTTTCATGGGGGTGACACTTTTGGGTTTGTTGATGTTGGTCTCATCCCTTTCTATAGCTGGTTTTATACTTTTGAGACGTTTGGTAACTTCAAAATGGAAGCAGAGTGTCCTAGTTTGATGGCTTGGGTCAAGAGATGCATGCAGAGAGAGGCTGTGTCCAAAACTCTTCCTGATGGGAAGAAGGTGTATGATTTTGTTGTGGCCGTTCAGAAAGCACTTGGATTGGAATAAAGGGACTCATGAACCAAACTATAAAAGATTTGCAAGTTAAACATGGTATTGTAGGTCTCGTGTAATTTTATGTTATGTTTGTTAGGCTTGGTTTACTTATGGTTTGGTAGATACTTGAGTGTGTCTACTAAGATTTGGAGTTGAGTAGGGATGAATGTTGTTATGTTTGGTTGAAGTTGTGACTTCATGATTAATAAAAAGCTCATGTTGGATATTTAATGTTGTCCAAATATAAAGTATGTGCAAAATGAAGCGTGCTTATGGAATTTATGGGCTGTTTAATTTGGTGGGTATTTTGCTTCAAGAAGAAATACATTTGTTGTCAAAATTGCTAATGAGGCATCGTAGAATACAGTAACATTACCATTAGTCATCAATGCCACAATGCAGAAATCTTCAATTGCTTAACCCAACAATTGACAAAACCAACAAAAACCTTAACAACCATTACAATCATAGGCATGGTATTGATATTAGTAGTATTATTGTTACTATTTGGCTTAATGCTCTGCATTTTGCATTAACACCATTTGCATAAGAGATATTTATAGCCCATCTATATACTATTTTCTGCCCTTCCTATCAGAGGCGGATTTAGGGGGTTAGGGTGAGCCATCGTCCTTCAAATTTAAAGAAACTTTTTTTCAATATATATATATAAAATAAAATTTTAGTAATATTATTAAATTATTTGTTTTAAAAATTGTATAATATAAAATTACTCTTCATAACACTATCAGATATCACACTACACTCAATTTTTTTTATTCATATTGCTATTCCACTATTGAAAATTCAAAATATGTGGAAAAACTTCTCTCTCTCTCTCTCTCTCTCAATTTACCCTCATGGCCCCATCTGCATCTCCGTGGAAATCCCCCCTCTATATTTTAACAAATCTTCTCAGCTCAGGTCTCTCACTATCTCTATTTTCTTTTGTTTTTTTATGAAATTAACAATGCTGCTATTATTCGATTGTTTTGCTTCGAAATCCATTCATATCATCCTCATGTTTTGAATGTTTTGTTTTGACTTATTATATCTTCCATTGATTAACATATTTTTATATCGACGTTTGGGGCAAAAAAAATTAAAATATTGTATTTAAATTAAATAATTACGCATTTAATGCTGTTTTGTAAAAAATTACACATCTACTGCACAATGTGACGCCACTTTTGGGCGTCACATGTGACGCCCAAAGATGGCGTCACATGTGTGCTCTATATATTTCCCCACCCCCTCCATTCAATTCACACCTCTTGTCTCACTCTTCATATCTCTCTTCTCCACCAACATTCCTTTATCTTTAATTTTGTATTTGAATTTTAGTTCTAATTCTATTTAAAAATGAGCTCAAATCCTGAGTCTGTTCGTGTTGTGTTATATTACAATGGTAGGAAGGTAGAAGGTCGACGAGGTGTCATATTCGAAGGTGAAAAAAGGCCGACACGTATCCAACGCAACACAACCATTGGCGAACTGCATCAGAGAATTCGGCAGAAGTTAAGTCTTCAAGACAACCAATGTATCACTGAGATAACGACAAGGGTGTGGCAAGGTGATAAATACATTAGTTTGAAAGTGCTTGACGATGAAGACTTGGAGATGACAATGGTAGAATTTTGCAACCAGTCAAGGACAGATTTTCTAGAGTTGTATGTCGACATCGTCGCAACCGAGAATGCTCTCATACCAGTGAGGTCAGTTTATTTAAATTCTCCCCGTCTTCCAGCTTCTCATGCCGCTCATGCGTCTCCAGTTGGTAACTTTTCTGAGGGAGATGAAAATGATCCGACTTGGGAAATGCACGACGAAGATGACGATGACGACGATGAAAATATGGCAATGGAAGAACATCTTCTGGCGGAGGATGCTAGTGCTTCAGAAGGAGATGAATCTCGTGAGATGGGTGCGTCTGAAATCCCAATATTCCATCAACCAGTCGTCGCGCAAATGCCGCAGTTGAATGACGTTGCGTCTGCTCCGTTTGGTATTCCACAAGAAGGTAATTGATCCCATACGTCATACTGCGTGAATAAATAACTGATTTAATACCTGAAATAGTAAGTTCGTATTAAAAAATTATAATCCGCAATTGCAGGTGACACAGATGTTATTCCTTTTTGGGAAGGAATTCTGCATTATTCTTACATTGATTGGAGTTATCAGAGCGAACAAGAATCATGTACTGATGGTTCGGTGTCTGGATCAGCTTCAATACAAGGTCCGTGGCAACTGGGTGACATGTTATTTGTCAATCAAGAATTTGCGACAAAAAAAGATGTCCAAATGGCACTTAAGCACAACCTTATTAGGGAGCATCAAGAAGCCATTGTAATTGAGAGCACGCCTGCAAAGTTGTCCATGAAATGTTGTGCGTACGATCAGGTTGTCCGTGGCGCGTAAGGGCGATCAAACCGGTGTTTCGTGAAAATTGGAAAATAACGAGATGGGGTGGAAAACACGAATGTGTGAATGAGCACATTTCCCAGGGTCATAGACAGCTCGATGCGGACGTTATTGCAGATCTCGTGATAGGTACCTTTTTGTATTTTAGATGTGTGAATGAACGCGAATGTGTAATTAAATTCGTTCGATGTTACGAAAAAACTGATATCCTCTTCAATGCAGGGATGATAAAGTCTGAACCATCTGTGACAATCTCTTTGGTGCAAGAAAGGATAACTGCTAAATATGGCTTTCAAGTTTCCTACAGAAAGGCGTGGTATGCGAAGCAGAAAGCGATGGCAATTCTGTACGGTGATTGGGAGGAATCGTATGCTTTTTTACCAAGGTGGTGCGAATACATGCTTCGCTTTTCTCCAGGTTCATTTTATCATATACAAACTAATGATCTTTATGCCGAGCAGAGCTTAGTTTCTGGAAAAAAGGTTTTTCATCGCATTTTTTGGACGTTTAGATAGTGTTGTGAGGCGTTCAAATTTGCCAAACCCATCATACAAATTGATGGAACACATTTATATGGAAAGTACAAAGGGAAATTGTTGGTGGTCACAGCCCAAAATGGTAATAATGAATGTTTACCGATCACATTTGCCATCGTAGAAGGCGAAACTTTGGAAGCATGGGATTATTTTCTCGTTAATATTCGTGCTCATGTCACTACGATGTCAAACATATGTTTGATATCCGATCGGCATCGAAGCATAATATCTGCTGTGGAAAATAACCCTACTTGGGAGCCGCCAAATGCGTATCACGTATTCTGTATTCGTCATATTGCAAGAAACTTCAATCAAAAGTTTCGGAATGAAGATTTGAAGCGGATGTTAAAGAATTTAGGTATACTCATTGACATTTGTGCGTAATTATTTCTTTCCATTATGACTGTCAATTTATGTTTAATTCGTTCATGTCCAATTTGTGCAGGTTATACTCCAGCAATGGTTGATTTTGAAAGGAATCTTGCGAGTTTCCGTGACAGTAGTCCTCAAATTGCTGAGTGGATTGATGTGATTCCTAAGGAAAAGTGGTCGCGTGCCTACGATATTGAAGGACGGAGGTATGGTCATATGACAACAAATTTGGTTGAATCTGTCAATAGGGTTTTGAAGGGGGCCAGAAATATGCCTATAACAGCATTGGTTAAGCATACATATAACAGATTAGTTGCATATTTTGTTGAGAGAGGAACAAATGCTCTTGCATAACTTCAATCAGCTCATCGTCACTCCAAACATGTTGTTGAATTGGTCAAGAAGAACCAGGTAGATGCAACAGGTCACCACGTTCGTGCATACAATGTTGAACATACTGTATTTGAGGTTGACGCAGGTTGGGAGCGTTCATATTCTGTCAACCTCCCACAGAGATACTGTCAGTGTGGAAAGTTTAAGGCCTTTAAGTATCCGTGTAGTCACGCCATTGCTGCTGCGTTAAGTGTTAGGCAGAGTGCGTTCACTTACGTTGACAACGTCTTCTTGATAACTAACTTGGTCGAGGCTTATTCTTTTACGTGGGAGCCAATCGGAAACGAGGAAGCAATACCTGAAATTAGTGGTGCAAAGATTATTCCTGATTCTACTATGGTGCAAAAGGTCGTCCAAAGTCAACTCGCATCCGCAACGAGATGGATGAAGTTGAGACAAGCCAGAGCCGTATCAGGTGTGGACTTTGCAAGGAACGCAGTCATAATCGTCGGCGATGTCCAAGTCGTGGGAGAAACGACTGATTTGCATATTATGTCATTATTTTGCTGTTGGTTATGTTATTGCATGAATTGTAATGTCCGTTATGTTGGACTTTTTACTTTCCGTTTATGTATGTTTTTAATCTTGTATTATTAATTAACTGATGCTGTTAGTTACCGTAATATAAATGCGCAAAGGACGACAACCAAAACATAAATAATAACGCATAATGAATAGTCCAAATAATATAATAATGTAGCGTCCACAAAATAACAACATGCTACACTCATAACTAATACAAAATAACAAAATAACAAAATAATAACAATATGAAACAGTCCACAACATAGTGAATACTCAAAATGGCAATGAATCTACGACCACGGTGGCCATGGCCTATGTCGTGCATCCCTATCTGGCAGTATACGTCTGTCCCAGACTGGGTCACCCTGATGCACCTCTGGAGGTGGAGTATGGAAGTCATCCATCGCCGCACGGATGAAATCATCTGATGGTCTTGCACTGCTGCCTGGCACATCAAAAGGGGTGTGTCCCTGACTGTGAGAATCCGTGGCTAGAGTCTCCCCACTGTCATGGCTCTCTGTAACAAGGCCTACAGAGCGATACAACTCAATCGTGTCCTCTGCAGACCAAAAGGGGTAATGGCCATCAAGTCCCTGTGAATAGGGCTGAAAATCAGGCTGTGAGGATGCCGGATACGCTCCTGCCATAGCCATCGGACTAGCCTGGAAAACTGGCTCCTGCCCGCTCATGTAAGGGTGCTCTGACGCCGCCTGACTAGGACCTGCCGCATACTGCGATCCGTGATGATAAATCGGCTGTGACCCGCCAAATCATACCGGCGTCCATAATGTGTGCCCGGCTTTGGATGAGGAGGAAAGGGTGGAGCAATGGGTGGGAATCGTATCCATGCCCAAATTTGAAGAAGAATATGGCAACCACGCATGTCGCTTCGACGAGCATCTGTCACTTCACACAAATTCCTGAACAAGTGTGTCAAAACTGCAGATCCCCAGCTGAATCGACCAATGTCCTCAAATCCTCCACCTAGCAATGGGACAAGCCGGCAACCAAAATTGCTACCTCCAGACTTGTCCGCCAGCAACCAAGTCCCCAACATCCGGGCAATGTGGGCTTTTGTGAAGTAGATCTCGGCAGCATGATTCCCCTCATGATCAGTCCACCGGGTTTAATGTCGATCCAAGAATGAGATGCGGAGGTCGCCGGAATGATGGAACTCACCGGCATCTGGATCATGTCCAAAAACAGCAGCACAAGCAGTGTGCCTATCCTCAGAGGTCGATCCGATGACGACAGTACCGTCGGTCGGCAAGCCCAAGATGCCTGCCACATCTTGTAAGGTGATCGTCATCTCACATTGGGTCATGTGAAACGTATGTGTCTCTGGTCTCCACCTCTCCACCAGAGCTCTAATTAAAAATGTATCTATCTGTGATAAATTTCGCAGTTATCACGTGTTAACGAATTTTATTAAATAATTACATAAATACAAAACGACATAAATAACTAGCCTGGATATGTTGCATCCTGGCAACATGTATGAAACCCGTCTGTCTGAGGTACTCTTCCACAACCTGTGGAATAGCACCGGTAGGTGGGCCCCCTTGTGGCTTCCCACGCCTAGTGTTAATCTTTCTTACATGCTCAGTATTCCACACTCGCTGTGAAATATGACCTTTCTGCGTCCTCTTACGAAGGACCTCCCACCTGTACGGCCCAGGTAAGATCCACATGCTGGGATCGGTGGGCTCTACATCCGAATCAGATCCCGAAGAAGATGATGACTCAGCCATTATCCTCAACTATATAATATAAAACAACATTTAAATTAATCACATGTAATGCCCCATTTTATTTACAATTTAATTAAGCAGTGACATAATTGATTATCACAAAAATTAAGCATATGCGTCATTTATTTAACTAGAATCGAAATTTATGAAGTCCCGCCAAAACGTAGAACAGTTATTTATTTGCAATTAAATAATAATAATACATCAGACAAAAATAATATAATACTAACTGAATACTTAACCCTAGGTCACTACCAACTTGTCCAATACGTACTAATCATCACACCTAACTAACTACAAAGTTATGCACTCCCGCATTAATAACACCATACATACGAAATTTACGATGTCCCTAACACTATTTATAAATCACTAATTAATATGCTAAACCCTAATGCATAATTAAAAATTAATAATAATAACTACGTAATAATAAAATTACTATATCGTTACAACATTCATAGTATGCCACAAAATTTCCAAGTGACTATCCTAATGTTCCAAGTCTCTAATATACAATCAATCATAACATGTATTACTAACTAGCACTGTAATTTAAATGTATACATATGAGGTATTATGACCTTACCTACGTTGGCAGAGCTTCGCTACGAACCGCGGTTAGAGAGAGGTTAGAGAGGTAAATGAGTAAGGAGTGAAAAAAGGAAAGTGGGGTATATATAGGTTGCACATGAGACGCTCCTTTTGGGCGTCACATGTGACGCCCCAATGGGGGTCTTCTCCAAGGGAGAGACGCCTCACTGGGGCGTCACATGTGACGCCCAAAGAGGGCGTCTCATTGTGCAACAGATGTGTAATTTTTAACAAAACAGCATTAAATGCGTAATTATTTTAATTAATTACATTATTTTAATTTTGCCCGACGTTTGGTGCGTTAATATTTTTTAATGCTTTAATGTTTCTTTGAGGATTACTTTTCAAACTGAAAGAATAAATTGTGTTGGACAAATAAATTAAAAAAAAAATCAAAACACGAATGAACCAATAAATTAAAATAATAATAATCAAAACTCAAGGTGAAATACAATAGAGCATAACAACATGTTTATTGGGGACTTCTAATATTTCAAACTTTCAAATACTTCATTTACTGATCTGTTAGTGTATTTTTTTAGTCTGTATTTTCTTATTTTTTGGACTCTGAGATCTGGATGTGTTTGCTTTTCAACGTTGGTTAGCTTGTTGGAGTGTTGTTCTACAATATATCTTGATGATTATATTTGAATAATTTTACTGGATTCAACAGCTTGTCCATGCATCATTTAGGTACAATGTATTCCCACATACATTTTTTTTAATTTATTTATTTATCTATAATTTATTTAAACATTTTCTGGATCTATTTTATTGTAGATGAATTTAACAAAATGAAAACACGTAGAATAAGAGTCAAGTGAAGTGATCTTAATTTCTGTAATAGATTTCTTTCAATTTTTTGCATATTAAGTCTGTATTGTATTTGAAATACTTTTATTTAAGAAAAGTATTTTTATTTTTTGCCCCCTCTCAATAAAATTTCTGGGTCTGCCACGGCTTCCAATTAATGTTTGTAACTTTGTTAATTTTTATTTATATCAGTAATTTAACTTGTGCTGTCTATCTCATCCTTCACATAATTGAAGAATTCAGTATTGTCTTGTGTGAAGATGCTTTCTAAGAAGAAATAGTTTCTCTATTATTGATGCTTGGATGCTTGCAGACTTCGACCGTTTGAGACCACGATGTGGCTGCGTGTTTGGTTCATCTGAAAATGTCTTGTTATATATCCTTTGTTCATTAAGAAATGGGACTAAGACTGATCAGTCCATTCAGTAAAATCTGAAACCATAGTATAGTTTATTTTTATTTCTTCATCGGTCGGATTCAAACATAATCTTATCCATAGAGAGATGGCTGTTCAACTTGAACTCGAGATCTTCATTAAGGAAAATAAAAATAAATATTCAGATTCAAAGTCGGATAGTATAGTCTAACCATTAAGGGCATGTTTGGTACATAATATAGGATAAGACCTGATAGTATAAGGTATGATTGTATAAGACCTGATTAAATTTTAATACTATCCAGCGTTTGGCATGATATTGTATAAAATAATATATTGTATAAGATAATATCATCCAGTGTTTGGTAATGTACTGTATAATATTAGATAGGTTAAAAATAAATATTTTTGTCAAAAATACTTTTTAATAATGAATTTACATAATTCTTCCAAATATATCATATGATATTATTTTTTACAGAAATATGTTGATCAGTGTGTCCAAAAAATATATTAATTTTTATAAAAATAAAAATCTTCAATATTTTAAAAAATTATATATTGAAAAATTATTTTTATTTTAATATACTAATATTAAAATAATATATTAATTCTTGAAAATTGCATTGGTTAATACATCAATCCTATATCAGGCCTAATCATACCCTCCTAGGTCGGATTAAGTTATACATCATTTTGATGTATAAAAGGATCCTGCTGTATAAGCTTATACTATATGATGGTCACACCAAACAACTAAAAATGTCGTAACGTATAGTATAAGCTTATACTATCAGGCCTTATACATCACATCAAACATGCCCTAAGTTAATACAAGCTCTTGGTTAACATTATTTATAAGGGTTTACTATTTCTCGTGAGAAAATCTCATCTCTTACTTTGAGAATGGATAAGACTATGAGAAGAAAAGTTTTAGAATATTTTTCATTCACCTTCTGTTATTTTCTTATTTTATTATTTTATTTGTTTTTTGTTACCTCATCAGTGGTTGTAATTGCCTAGTACCATTTATGGAACTAGTGTGGATTCTGTTATAGGAACCTGATATATTCTTGATGTTGTGTATTGTAAAACAGATGAATTTACAGTAATGAAAAATGCTTCTTCTTCTTCCAACTTTTTAGACTGTGATATCTAATATGGTATTAGGTGTTACCCTTTAATCTCTGCCATGGCTTGAGGTAATCAGGCTCGCTCTCAAACCTTCGTTGCCTTTACCTTTGCTTCTATTCCTCCCTCCCCTACTTCCATGGAGGATACTTCCATTCCCTACCATCTTCACAACGGTGATCATCCTGGCATCGTTCTTGTCCCTCACATTTTTCTTGGGAACAACTATAATTCTTGGTGCAGGGCCATGTTTATTGCCTTCACTGCTAAGAACAAAGTTTGCTTCGTCGATGACTCTCTTCTTCGCTCATCTTCTGATGATCTTCCCTTCCCTTCTTGGAATCGCTACAATTCCATGGTCACCTCATGGCTTCTCAACTCTATTTCCAAGGAGATTGCAGACAGCCTAATGTATTTCTTCACCGCCTATGATCTTTGGCTTGATCTTCGTGCTTGTTTTCATCAGGCAAACAACCCACGCATTTTCTAGCTGAAACAATAGATCTCGTCTCTCCACCAGGGCGTTCTCGACGTAAAAAGTTACTACACGAAGCTCAAAATTCTCTGGGATGAGCTTCAGGATTTCCCCCAACTTTTCAATGCAACTGTGGTGGCCTTCGCTCCCTCTATGCCTCTCAACAACAGGACCACGCTCTTCAGTTCCTCATAGGGCTTAATGTCTCATACTCTTCCATTCATGCTCAGATTTTGATTAGAGCCATTACCCAATTTGTCACAGGTTTTCTCTCTTGTATTGCCAGAGGAACGTCAGAGGTAGATTTCTACTATGGTGCCTGTTGCCCCTGAGACTCCCTTATCGAATTTCGTTGTTGCTCCCGGTGTTCTTGGCTCTGCTCCTGCTGCGTCTCCTCTAGTGGATGCCTCCCTCTCCACCTCTCGCCGCAACCGTCCATTTTGTACACACTGCAACATTCTCAGCCATAACAGGGACAAATGCTTTAAGCTCCATGGCTTCCCACCTGGGTACAAACCCAAATCCCCTAAACAGACCTCTCCTTCCCATTCGGCCCAAACCCACATGACCCTTACTCATCCTAGCCCTAGGCCCACTGACTCCAATCTATTTTTCCTTAATTAACTCTGGCCCAATATACCCGATTGCTCCATCTCCTCTAATCCAGCCCTAGCCCCTCGTCGCCGCCGTCATCATCCCCATCTCCACCTGTAGATTCACTTTCCCCTACCGTTGCTAGCTTCAGTGGTACGTGTTCTTCTTCTTTACCCTCTACTTCTTGGGTAATTGACACTGGGGCAACACACCACGTTGCTTTCTCCCCTCTCGTTTTCACATCTTCTGATTTTCGTTCCACTATTTCTCTTCCTATTGGCTCTACTATTTCTGTCACGTCTAAAGGTTCTATCTTCATACACGATGTTTTACTTGTTCCATCTTTTTCTTTTAACCTTCTCTCTGTTAGTGCTTTTACTCGTGATTCCTCTATCACTGCTCACTTTTACTCATTTCATTGTTCTCTATAGGATTGTGCCTCACACAGGACGATTGGGATTGCTAGTAGGCTTGGCGATCTCTATATTTTGGAAGCTGATTCTTTTTTCCCAGAGTTCATGTTCCCCCTTCCCTTTGTTTCAATGTTTCTATGCAATCTTTTGGTTTATGGAACTCCTAATTAGGTCATCTTTCTTCTCCAGTTTTACATTATTTACGGGATACTTTACATTTTACAGACACTACTTGTTCATCTTTTCATTGTAATATATGTCGATTGGCTAAACAAAAACGCTTACCCTTTATTTTGGATCTAAGAATTTCTTTATCTGCTTCTGGTTTATTACATTGTGATATTTGGGCCCCTTCACCCCTGTTTTTGTAGACAGTTTTTGCTATTTTCTCACTTTGGTTGATGATGCCACTCGTTTTGCTTGGGTTTATTTTCTCAAACATAAAAATGATTTTTCTATATTTTTCCTCATTTTATGTTTTGGTTTTCACCCAATACGGCAAGTTTATTAAGGCTTTTCGTTGGGATAATGCCCCTGGATTTTGTTTATCTTATATTTCCAATCAAAAGGCATTCAAATTTTTCTTCCTGTGTCAAACGACCGC